CTCAAATCTTACATATTTTTTCTGTCCCGTGTCAATAGAAATCAATGACCTGTTACTTTAATCAACGTTTTACTCCTGTTTTCATGTTTTATGCTTTATTTCAGATCTGGAAATTTAAAAAAAAAACTACATCTGAAATGTCACAGAGTTGAAACAGATACATGATAAAACATTTTCTTGCAAAAAGGATTCTTGTGACCGAGTATTGACAGTGTAGTATTATATTTGGTTCGCAGGAAATATCACTAGCAAATTCTTGTTTAATTTTAAAGTTTCAGTCTTTATTTATTCAATTGTTTCACAAAAGTAATAACCACTGTAGACCTAAGTTAATCGACTTCAAATTTAATCCATTATTAACTAAGCCACCAATCAAAAAATCAATATACTGACAGTAGCAAACCTCAGTGTAGTAGGGTGAATTTAAACTCGTTAATTATTCAGTAACCTCAACAGTTGGAACAGTGTCTTTAAAGATTCATTACCCAATAAAGAAGGTGAACATACATATATTATGCATTGAAAACACTTAGTAACTATTAACTTGCTAGCTATTTTTTAAATTACTTTAAAGAATTTTCACATAGACTATTCACGTGATATTTAAAATTGGATAAATCTTTCTTTAAGTGAGGCGCAGAAGCTTTATTCCAGCTTACACAACTCACGGCTACCTTGACGAAGAACCTTCCTCTTTCCGGGTAAATCACAGACACGAAGGAGAGGAAACTGTAAAGTTGTTATCTCCAAAAATTCCCACAAGAGATTCGCGCAACGAATATACAAGCTGTTACATCAACTCATTTCATGAATGACGACCAATAAGAAAACATACATTGTAGGCCTACTGTCTCAATAATAAAATGAAAACTTCTGAGGAACTATTAAAGTACGTTGGAACGAATCAAATAGCTATGCACAAAGGATGATCATACTTTAGGATTTGAGGTTTTCACGGCGGTGAGCATGAAGATGGCTGTCTTATGGGTTTTTCCGCCGTGCAGTCTGGTAGAAAGGTCATTGCTGCCTCCATCATCAGGGCGATCGCAACAACCCAGAACACAGCCATCTTCAATGACCATTTTACTCTCAGTAAGGATGTCGAAAATTGATGCCGTCCGGTGCAAAATTTACATTAAGAGATCTGATTAAAATAACAAGTGGTGTCACGTGTTTTCCTAGATCTAATATTGCCTTCAGGACTTGATATATCTGCTGAAAAACTGTGTGCAATTTCATTATTGGCCATCGCATTGGCTGAAAGTGGCATTTATCAGATAACTCTATGCATTAATATAGATCGAACCAATATATCCGTCGGTACAAAACTTGGCTCCAGTGTCAGTGGCTCGATGTCTCTGCTTTGTATGACAGGTCCGCCACGGTACAAAACTTGGCTCCAGTGTCAGTGGTTCGATGTCTCTGCTTTATATGACAGTGGTAACTAGGTCCGCCACCTGCTTTGACGACCAGTGAATTGGCAAGTTTCCCACTCAGACCCTGTGGGCTTCATTTATTTTTTATAATAAACAGCAAAACGTTTCCCAAATTTCTGTATTCCTCACCCCATCTGTTACAGGAAACGTGTTTCCGTATATCGGCAACCAGAGCTAACCGACTGACTGACTCCGTAACTCTACAGCTCTTAAAAAACCTAAACAAAATTGCAAACATCGCATTTCGAAAATACGTATAGTTGAAAAAGCCTCTCTGCTGGTCTCAGAATAAAGAAACATAGCATCCTATATACGGAGATACATTCAGTTTCTGAATATAAGAATGGGCGCACGTGCGGAATGAGTGGTTAGGATCCTCATTAATTCACTAGCATGACAAGATGCCAATCAGGTTTTTCCTCAGCCAGCTCACTAGTCCGTTGTTACATGAAAAGCGAGTATCAGACTTACCAAGAGGTGATGACGCAGTGCTGAAGGCATAACTCAGGGTAAATGGACGAATAATTGTGTGGAAGACCTCGCCGTAACAAGGAAGATCCGGATTTGAATCCTGCAAAGGTCATCTCGACTCTCTGCTGCTTTGTACCACTAGAAAATTAAAATGAATAATATTTACTTTAACCAGCTGCGCATCGCTTGGAAAACCTAAGCTAGATCTTAAATAAATGGAATGAGAGGGTGTGGACTGGATTCGTGTGTGAGATTTCAGGTTCTCAAGCCGGCGAGGACGAAGAGCAGAGCCTTCTCGGATACTGCGTCGAATCGTCCTGATGATGGATGCAGTAAGCGCCTCTGAATTACCCCAGAAAGCTGTCATCTTCATCTGGATTTATATGATTCAGGAATAGGATGCAGTGTCGTGATATTTTAAACACAAAATTTTCAATGGGAGGTGGGAAATTTGTAGACTAACTCAGGTAACACTGCCGATCTCTATAACCGTGCGGTTTGAGACTCATAGGTCGCTCATTCGACATAGGGCTACATGTAAAGTGAGTTCTTTCCATAGAGCAAAACAGATGAGACTCATAGGTCGCTCATTCGACATTGGGCTACATATAAAGTGAGTTCTTTCCATAGCGCAAAACAGCATTTGTTTGTTTGTTAACCACCTGCCTCCATCTGTTCCCAAAGTTTAGAATGTGTGGAGCTTTACTTCCACCACCTCCATACATGATTATAGGATTACGCTTAGACACGAGCTCCATATTACTTTTATATTTTGGGGTTTGAATTTTTAAACATTTATTTCATTATTAAAATCTTATTTTGTACAGGGTTGGAACGACGTGAGTTTCCATGGGTCGGATCAGATTCCGACGCCAAATATCGACGCCTTGGCTTATAATGGCGTCATCCTCAACAGCCACTACGTGCAGCCGACATGTACGCCCACGAGGGCCGCTCTCATGACAGGGCGATACCCCATACATTTAGGTAAATGCGTAGAGTAAGATAACGCATTGTAACGAGGAACTCGCGATGTTTACGAAAATAAGTCTTGGGGGCCTTGTTACAGGTTCTGCAACTAACTAGGTATAAAAGAGTCGAGTGCTGCCCACTGCGTTTTGGGTTTAATTCGTTAGTACCTAATTCAAATATTAGGTTATGGTATCCGAAGAAATAATAATATTTATACACATTTTTGTGCGTTCACACATTATGTCCAATCAGCACAAGTCTCGTTCTTTCTTGTGAGGGCCTTCGGTTTTCGACAAGGTCCCATTCGCTCCTAGAAAAATAATTGCCCACATCTGGTGCAAGGCGTAGTCAGTATTTGATAACTTTGAGGGTTTGGGAGGTGACAGATCTGGAATTTAAAATGTCTTCTATTCAGATGCAAACTTTTATTTCGTTATGAATCAGATACATTAAATATATGGCATATGACATGACGTTTTGCCTAAGCAAATTATTTCTTATTATTCAGGTATGCAGGGTAATTCCCTCGTCGCTGCAGAATCCCGGGGTCTGCCACCCGGAAAGATACTGCCCCAGTACCTCAAGGATCTGGGATACACAACTCGAGCGGTTGGCAAATGGCACCTTGGCTTCTACAAGAAGGAGCTCACTCCAACCTACCGTGGATTTGATTCTTATCTGGGGTGTTGGAACGATTACGTCAGCTATTATGATTATATCCTGCAGGAACGTGTAAATAGTCCATATGCTTTTTCAAATGGCTTTAAGTTAATATTCAAACATTAATCGTGAATAACCAATGAAGTTGTGTTGAATTTAAATGCATTAACGACGAGTGCACTGCCCACTTTCTAACTGAACAATGTGTTTTTCAGAGGCTGTATTTTTCTACCACCATAGGTGGGGAAAAAAGGGCACAATTCTATGTGGCTGTATTTTTCTACCACCATAGGTGGAAAAAAAGGGCACAATTCTATGGCATGCGTAAAATAAAGCTGTCCTTGTCATAAGGCATAACTGAATGCGATCAGAGAAAGAAGAGTTTAAACTTTGTGACTGATTTTATTTTGTATGATTTGAGGCTTTCACAGCGGTGCGTATGAAGATTTCTGTCTTCTGGGTTGTTGCGCTGTGTAGTCTGGTTTCAGAGATCATAGTGCCTCAGTCATCAGGGCGATTCACCAGACTACACAGCGCAACAACCCAGAAGACAGAAATCTTGATTTTATTTTGTTGGTTTCAGTACAATGACGGCTATTATAACGGTTTCGACCTGAGACGGAACTTGAGCACAGCGTGGGACTTGTTCGGTCGTTACGCGACGGACGTATTCACCGACGAAGCGGTACGC